TTTCCCTACCCTTAAAAGTGTGCTTCAGAGAAGCACAGATTCCTGTTCAGATTCTATTAACATATTTTATTTAGAAGCTTTTTGTCACTATTTGGCTTCTTTGGCTGTTTCAACCTTTATCTAGTCCTTTTCTACTGTATTTTCTTCTCATTCCTCTCTAAACCCTCTCCCGTCTTAAAAATGTCTTTTTATTCCCTCAACATTGTCTTTCTGGCTGTCTTATTGACCACTAGATAATGCTGATTAGTTACAGAGTTCGCATAAGATCGGGTGCAACAATAACCAATCTCTGAAGAGAGGCTGTTAGCACTGAGTCATTCGTTGGTCCTGATGGAGCTCACTAAGAGAGTCACACCTCGTCAGTCAAGTGACACTCATTTCTTAGCTCCCTAGGATATTCCTTCTGAGGGGCACAGACTTCTCACAGGTGCTTACAATCTATTCTCAAAACTTTAATGTGCTCTGTGAGTGCCAGGTTCATTCTGGGGGCGGTGAGAGATCATAGACTTTGTTATTTATCCACAGTACCAAAATAGGTCACTGTCACCTATTTTGATGGTTTCATCAAAAAGCAGTTTTTACAAATATTTACTTTAATGCTTAATATATTATTTTCCTGTGTGTCTTGTATCGATTATTGGTCATGGTAAACATTTCAAAATATGAGAGATTGACACTCTGAGAATCATCTTTTGAATTTGGAAATGATCTTTTGCTATTATTGTTCAGGATTTTAATTCAACTCTTGTATAAAGCAATAGGTATATCTTTTAGGTCATGAAAAACACATGTATGTTTTTAAAAGATTTATAATTTCCTAATATTGATACTTCCCATAAAAAGTTCATTTTAGTAACTTCAACTATCAAGAAATGGCAAAGGTAGAAAAATTAGCAGACATTATTCAGTCACTGCCTACCTAGAGCATTTTTGTATGACTTTAAAGGACAAGAGTTTCTTCAGCTGATTAACAACAGGTAATTTTTAGCTATTTGTAGATTTCTCTGGAGTTTTCTGGGTAAGGATCAGTGTTCTTATCATTGATAGTCCCTGGAGTGTCTGCTTGAGCAAAGCAGCTTTGTCAGTGTTAGTTGCAAGCACATATTAGTTTTTTAAACTAACACTTTTAAAAGCCATTACTGCTGGATTTTTAATACTTTATTATAAAGATTTTATTTGAGAATATGAAAACAAGAAAATCTTTATATCATCCATTTTTCTATGTTATTATCTCTGTAAAGTTGCTCTGAATCTTATCTTCCAATCACTTGATTTTTCCAGGCCCCCAATTCTCACCAGTCCGTCTCCTTCAAAATCCATTCCAATTCCACAGCCTTTCCGACCAGATGAAGATCATCGAAATCAGTTTGGACAACGAGACCGGTCCTCATCAGCTCCAAATGTGCATATAAACACCATAGAACCTGTCAATATTGATGTAAGTATCCAGCAGTGCTCGAACTTAGAAAATTCAAGTGTGTTTCTTTATTTTTTCTTTTTTTTTCTTTTTTTTCTTGCGTTATGCGGGCCTCTCACTGTCGTGGCCTCTCCCATTTGCGGAGCACAGGCTCCGGACGCGCAGGCTCAGCGGCCATGGCTCACGGGCCCAGCCGCTCCGCGGCATGTGGGATCTTCCCGAAACGGGGCACGAACCCGCGTCTCCTGCATCGGCAGGCGGACTCTCAAGCACTGCGCCACCAGGGAAGCCCTCTTTATTTTTTCTGCTACATTTATAATATAGATCAGAAGTAAGTGCCATCTTTCATTTATCACAGTTATTATAAGTGATAGACTTTTCATGAATTACAAATCAGAAAAGCCTTTTCATCTTCTCTGATGGCATAAAATATTTAACTGGCACGAAATTATAGAGATATTCTTATTTTTTTCCTTATGACACCATCTCTGTAAAAGTCTTATCTTCATTTATTTAACAGATAATCCACTTGACCATTTTAGGATAAAGAAAAAATAAGAATACACTTGCATATTTCCTATTTAGATCAATTTGAAATCTTTACCTAAATTTCTAAGAGTTTAACTTTGAGTTAAATAACCCTTCAGGATTAATCATTACTTTATGTACTTCTCATGCAAAGCTACCTTTTACCTTCTTTACTTTCTTGAGTATACCATTGGATTGCATCTCTACACAAATCAATTATTAGTCTCCTTCTGGGGCTGGTCACTCTTGAATTTTTTTACTTTCCCAGTTTATCTTACACACTGTAAGTTAATTATGTACATTAGTGTCACTTCTTCGTTTTGACCTTAACTCCTGGACAGCAGAAACCATTCCTAATATAGTTCCCTAACATAGGAACTATCAGGTGTTAGTTGGCACCTAACATAAGAGGTCATCAAAAAATATTTGTATTAGTAAAAGTGTTAGAAGACAAAGCAGAGGTCTGTTTCCCATAATATAGACCAGGAACTCTTAAAGGGTCACATAGGAAATATTTTAGGCTTTTGTGTCATGTGATCTCTAATGATAGCTGTTGAACTCTGCCACTGTAGTGTGAAAACAGCCATAATACATTTTAAACAAATAGGTGAGGCTTTATTCCAGTAAAACTTGAGTAAAGCAGGTGGCCAGCCAATTGTATTTTGCTGGTCCCTGATATATACAAAATAGAAGGAAGAGATGAGAAAAAAGATGAGATATGCAGGATCAATCCAAAAGGACTGGTTCATTCAGCTATCAATACATCATCTCAGTAACTGAGTTACTGAAGAGAATAAAGAGCCCTTGCTATCTGAGCTGTGGTGGGGTTGGGATCACTTCTCCCAGAATTTGTACTTCAGGATAAAAAATGTGGGTTATCCTCAGTCTCTGTCTATAATAAGCAACAAAACAAAAAAGCCACCAAATTTGTTTGCCTTGGAAAGTCATTCTATTTAAAAAGGAATTTGAAACTGTTTCCCCATGTAAGCAGGATACTGAAGTTACTCAGGGGTCATGTGTATGTTAGAGGACAGGGGTTGTTCTCATTATACTGGCATTCCTTATGTGAGTCCTCATAAGGTTGAGTAAAGAAGCAAAAATTATCCTAACAGGAAAATAATCACTAATTAACAGACTCCCTTAATATTAGTCTCCACTCACATATCCCTCCCCATTTAATACCAGCTTGCATTCCAGCCCTTTTCCATCACTATCCAACATTTCAGTGAAAACATAAAGCAGATTGATTGTGAATCTGACAACAAAAAAAAGATTTTAAGGATTTTATGAAGATAGTGAAAAAGTCACTTGGTAGAACTACTCACATCTTATAAAGTCATTGAGAAATAAGGGTACAGCAGAATTAAATTAGTCCAGTTAACAGTAAAAGAGAGAAAGTCTATAAGGATGACAAGAGAATAGGCTTTTCAAGTGAAAATGATTTATAAATATCATAGGATTGATGGAGGCCTCTGAGGGAATTGTTGAAGTCCTTTAAAATTTTTATAAAAATGATTATGATTGTGATGTAAAAGATGAATATGGAATTAAGAATTTCAATTTGTGCTCTCGTAAGTTTGATATTCTTACCAATGAAAACTTGATTTTTTTCTGTATTCTAAGGATTAGCATACTGTTGAAATTAAAACTTAAAGTTTTGTTGAATGTAAAAGAAAATAAACTTTTTATAAATCTTAATTTCATTTTTCAAGATACATTCCCAAGTCAGACTTTCTTCCTATATTTTACTATGAAGTTTTTTCTCTATTTTTATTGGATTCATTTCAAGTAGCCTTTTCTTAATATCAGTTTTTCTCAACTAATAAGGTCTTCTATCTGGCTAGACCTGAATACAAAGGAAAAAAAATAGGAGAGGGAAATATGGAAATAAGGAGATTATGTGAAATAAGAAATCAAATCTTATTTTTACGTTAGATCTATTGTCAGTATGTTCAAAGTTGTTACCTTTGTATTTACTTTCAAAACTGATGTTCTTTTAGCTATTTCTCTTTATGTCTTAGTGTTATTAAGTTTCTCCTATTCTCTTAGGCTTCAACATTTGGAGTGTCATCTTTATATCTTGCTTTTTCATCTTCCCCTATAAGCAAATAGTCATAAGGTATCACCTTTCCTTTTGATATATGTCTCAAATTTGTTATTACTACCACCATTTGGGCCCATATTTCTTCACTTGAACTACTTATTACATTAATCTCCTAAATAGATTTCCTGCCATTGATTTCTCTCTGCCCATTTCCATTTTTATTGCTATTATCAGAATAATTTTTTATAAGACCTCTATCATCATCTGTTCCTTTGTTCCAAAACTTTCATTTACTTCCCATTGAAAAATATAAAGCTTTTAGCATTTCATTCAGTTTCAGTCATTTCATTCAATTTCAGTCATTATTTGTCATTTATTATTCCAGTAAACCAGATTTAATATTTACTCTGGTATAGGCACTGTGTCAGAATAGGGAATTAAGATGAATTAGCACAGTCTTTGCCCTCAAGGAGGTCACAGTCTAATGGAAATGGATGAATCAGCCATATAAATAAAGAAACACAAAATATACAGTGATAGTTTATAGAAGGGGTTGATAAACCCTACCTGGTTAAATCTAGTAATGTTTAGCAGAGAAAGGACAACATTTAAGCCAGACTGTAGAAGGTGAATAGGAAGGAGTTGGAGTTTATTCAGTGCACTTGGTGGGGGTTTTAAGAAGGAAGGGCATTTGTTAAGGAAATGGTATGTGCAGAAATATAGAAGTACCTATATGTGGGTTGTAATGAATAGTTGGTATTGTACGAGTTTAGGGTTCAGGAAAAGGGTGGGTAATGGTAGAGGATGAAACTAAGTAGGTAGAGTCCACACTGAAAGACATTATGTTATTATTCTGAGGTCACTATAGTAGTTGGTAATAGGAGGTCCAATAAACTGGGTGGGAAAGAAAGTGATCAGCTCTTTACTTTAGAAAGTTCTTTTGAATTAGTGAGAGATTTGATAGGCTCAATTGTTAGGATGGATACTGTAAATGGCTACTGTTAATGCTTACTGTGTGCTAGGTACTTTACATAAATTTTCTTAGTCTTTCCTCACAAACACTTGTGAGTTAAGTAGTAGTATTTTCCTTATTTTACTGTTAAGAAAATTAGATTTAGAGATATCAAGAAACTTACCCCAGATCACACAGGTGATAAATGATTGAAATGGGGTAAAACCTGGCCTTTCTTTCTTATCTCAATCACTGTTCTATATAGTAGTAGAGGAGAGAAGTGAAAGAGATGAGAGGTAATAAAGATAATGCCTAGGGACTTCCCTGGTGGCACAGTGGTTAAGAATCCACCTGCCAATGCAGGGGACCCGGGTTTGATCCCTGGTCTGGGAAGATCCCTGCATGCCGCGGAGCAGCTAAGCCTGTGCACCACAACTGCTGAGCCTATGCTCTAGAGCCCATGAGCCACAACTACTGAGCCCGCGTGCCACAACTTCTGAAGCCCACGCACCTAGAGCCTGTGCTCTGCAACAAGAGAAGCCACCGCATTGAGAAGCCCGTGCACTGCAACAAAGAGTAGCCCCCTCTCACCGCAACTAGAGAAAGCCTGCGCACAGCAAAGAAGACCCAAGGCAGCCAAAAATAAATAAATAAGAAATGGTAATTAAAAAAAAAAAAAAGATAATGCCTAGAGTTGTCTGGCTTAGGTGGATAGATGGTATTTATTCTATCCATTAAGATAGGAAATGCCAAAGGAAGAAGAACAGGGTTTGTAGAAATGAAAACGTTAACTTTTATTTTGGACATCTTGACTTTAAGATGTCTGTGGAACTTTCCTTGTTTAGAAGTCCAGTAGCAGTTGAAATAAGGACCTTGAGTAGAGATACAGATTTAGAAATAATTAGCCTATTTTTGTCAGTTAAAGTCATGGATGTAAGTGATATTACTCAAAGACTATATGTAAACTGAAAAGAGGGTAGACATGCAACCCCAGTAAACATTAACATTTGAGATACAGGCAGAGACTGTCATTCTCTCTCCATTTTAGGCTTCTCTTCCTAACTTTAGCTTCAAATAAGTAAGAGAAAGTAGTGTTGCAGAAGCTAAAGGGAGAAAAGGGGACTTCAAGAATGCTTAAGTAGTTGATGTCAGTTGCCATTGAGACTCAAATGAGATAAGGACTGGAAATGACTATTGAATTGGGCAATTACAATGTCGTTTTTACTTCATTGAGAGCTGTTTTAGAGGACTATCGGAGGATAGCAAAACCAGGGAAAGATGTGGGATTAAGTGCCAATTTTGAGAAGCTTGGCTATAAAGGACTAATGAAAGGGTCATAGATTGAAGCAGAGACTTGAGCATATTTGTATCTTCAGGGGAAGAAGCAAGTGAAGAGAGAGGTTAAAAATAACAAAGAATAACTGAGGTAGTAAAATTCCTTGAATTTGGAAGTGATGTTCCTCAGAGGCTATGAGGAATTAAAGATGAACATAGCTAGCTCCGCAGCTCTTTACAGGCAGTATGACCATGGGCAGATGACTTAACCTTGAGGCCTATAGTGTCTACCCCTTGTAGTGATTTGAAAATGCTTATTGTTCTTGGCACAAAATAAGAATTCAAAAATTATAGCTAATATTATTATACAAATGTTTGTAGATATAGAGGCAGAACAGAATGTTCTTTGATAGCTTCTGTTTTCTCTGTCATGCTAAAAAAGGGAAGAGTTATAAGTAAGAGAGGAACCCCATAGGAGATTGGCAAAAAGTTTGAAATAGCCAGTATTGGAATACTAGAAGATCCTATTTAACCTAGGCCACGTAGATAAAGATTGTCAAGGAGCTTTAAGAACATATTTGAGATTGGAAAATATAAGTTTATGGTGGTTATTAGCAGTGGGTTGTCTAGAAGACTTTTTTTTTTTTTTTTTTTTTGCCCCGCCTCTCAGCTTGCAGGATCTTAGTTCCCCGACCAGGGATTGAGGCCGGGCCATAAATGTTTTTTTTTTTTTTTTTTTTTGCCACGCCTCTCAGCTTGCAGGATCTTAGTTCCCCGACCAGGGATTGAGGCCGGGCCATGGCAGTGAAAGTGCAGAGTCCTAACCACTGGACGACCAGGGAAGTCCCCCTCTGCTTTTCTTTTCTGCATTCCTGTCTGCCCCTCAAACCCCAACACGTAGATCATCTTCTTCAAATGCTTCACCAATGGCCAAGTTCTATAGTTATTTATTTATCCTTTGAACTTAAGTAGCATGAAGAATCTTTTCACCCATACTGTTTATTTGGCAATTAACTAAGCAACTTTGGCACCTTTTTTATTGTTTTCTTAAGCCCTTATTCTTATATCACATAATTTCTATGTGTGTATATCTTTCTTACGCTTAGATTTTAAGCTCTCAAGAACACAAAGTTAGTGAGACCACCATGATTTTTAATATTTATTAATAGTCACACAACCCCTAACATTAGCATCTTATTTGGAGATATGAGTATTTGTTGATTATTCTGTAGAAAATGTTAAAGGCTTTATATAATACATTGAACATGACAGAAATACATCTGTAAAGAATGTGCTCTTCGTTTTAGCCTATAAATGAAAAGCTGCCTATTTGCAAAGAGACTGAACTTATTTAGAGACCTGATATTTAAGTTATACTGGTAGATTAAGTTCTGTCTGTCAGGGTCCAAATTGCATTGCATTGCCAGTAGGCTCTTCCCCCACTGCCCTGCCCCATGTTGTCTGTTGTAAAAAGCTGTATTTTAATAATAAAGGCAAATTTTTTTTCCCCTTCTAGTGTGTCCTTACACATTTATATTTTTATAATTGTATCGGTGTACATTTAATTTTGTATTCTTTTTTATTGTAAACATGTTTTATGAGTCAAGCTTCATAATTGTTTTAGTAGCTACATAATACTTACTAAATTGATACACTATAGTTAACCATTATTGCCTAAAATAGGGAAATAATTTCTGGTTTTTTAGTATAATGGATAATGTTGCACTAAACATCTTTGTGCATATCATTTTTTTCTTCTGAATTATTTCCTTAGGAAAAATTCCCAGAAGTGGAATTACAGGATCAAAGGGTATGAACATTTTATGGCTCTTAATATGTGCCAGTAGAATTGTTTTTTAAGAATTAATGCAGCCATTGGTTTTGAATGGCCTGAAATGGATTTCAACATTTCATCAGGACTAATAATCCCTTCAATCTAGGGTTAGGTTGGCGAGTGCTTCAAATTTTTTATTTTATCATGTTCACTAGCTAATTCCATATTCTTTCTGTTTTGTGAAGTAATTTATAAGGCAGGTGTTAGTTTGAATTAACCTTTCTGTGAATGCTTAGTGGAAAATAAAATTTTATTACTTTCTTACCATATGCTTTGATTAAATATACATTACTATTTATTTGTAGGACTTGATTAGAGACCAAGGGTTTCGTAGTGATGGAGGTAAGTCGTGTTTTCAATTTAAAAAAAAAATCAGGGAAAAATGCAATTGCTTTGCTGCTTGTCTCCTTTATATTTGCTTCTTTCATGAAACACAGACACAGAGGAAAATGTGCAGAGAAAAACCAAAAATTGTTTGCTTTTTTTTAGTATTTATCATTTATCTCTAATAAAATTTTGACTAATTCATAGCCAGAGAAAAAGAGAGGACATAAAAGGGAGTCTTAAATGTACTATCTACAGTTTTTTAGATGTTGTTATCAAGGAGAGATCCTTAACTATTTTACCCACTTTATTCCTAACCACCTCCATTCCTAATACTTAAAGATTGAGCTTACAACCAGTTAAAACTTGACTCCCCTACATCATTCTTGGAGAGAATCCCTGGGGTTGCCTGCTACAACTTGCCAGTTTGTTAGACATTGTCAGCCACTTCCCTTCAGCTTTCTAGAAGGCTTTGGAATATATACTTTATAGCATGGACCCCTAATAGAAAAGCCTAGTTCCCCTTTTACTATTCCAGTAAATAAAAAAAGCAAATGAGAAACTGAATTGAGATTTCTTACAGAATTTTCATCAGATGTTCACTCTAGCACACAGTGAAAATTGGGAGCATAGCAAAACATTACTTTAGAAAATACTTTTTAAATAAGATTTTACCCCCATAAGATTTTTCTAAGAGATGGTGTTTGAAACTGTCTTGACGTTTTCTTCCAGGTGGTCCTTTATGCTTACCTCTTCAGCTGTCTTCTGTTTAATAAGGAAGCCCTACGATACCTGCATATCTTGTTTAGAGTTGGTCTCTTCACTGTGACCTGCTTTATATTCAAAATATCTAAGCCCAGACTCAAAGATACTTTATGTTGAATAAACATTGAGTAAACCATCTTTTGTTGTAATATTTATATATACCTGTGGACCTACCAAAATAATAAGCCTGCATTATGTACTCTGGTCTTAGTATTTACTATAGCACATAGTTATAAAAGTTTTTTTTTTTTCCTGTTTGTTGTTCCATGAACCCACCAATTAATGTTGCTGCCAGTTTGACTTTCATATGTGTTAATAGCTGTGGCTTTTGATAATTTTGCCCAATACATCCAGCATTTAAATGTTGCCATCATGTTAGCATCACAGAGTTAACTTAGTCATAAAAATTGCCTGCTTAGTACCAAAAATCAAATGCCATTTCTTATCCTTTTTGTGAATCACTTTATAAAGAATCATTGGAATTTTATGAAAATAAGCAGATTTTTTAGACATCCAGAATTATTTTGTGAAGCAGGCTTCAACTCATTTATTCCCATGACTTCTTTCATTTCTTCTGTGTGTCTGTTTTCCTGTGTTTGCCTGCCCCTCTCTTTTTCTTCTAACAGCCCCTTTGAACCAGCTGATGCGCTGTCTTCGGAAATACCAATCCCGGACTCCCAGTCCCCTCCTACATTCTGTCCCCAGTGAAATAGTGTTTGATTTTGAGCCTGGCCCAGTGTTCAGAGGTAGTTGGGCTCTTCTTTCTTGTTTTCATCCAAACCAACTAAATATAAACAACAGATACTGTTTGTGCGTCACCCTCACAGTGTGTGTTTGTAAGTGTGAGAGTTTTCAGTACTAAATTTCTGCTTGGCCTGGCTGGAATGCTCTGAATGTGCTTCTCACACATACTCACTACCACAAGCTTTCTGTATGCTGTCTGTCATAAATTTTTAAAAGCAAGAAAATTCTGAACTGAGATTTCCATCTTGTTTTTTGTTATATTACTTACTTTTTGGTCTTGATAATTTCTTAAACTCAGTGGGTGACAGTAAATAATGTGGGGGGGGGGCTTCTTCAAGTTGAATTTATTTTACTTTAATCCATTTAGGTGATAACCTTGATGGCTGCTAATAATGGTTATCAATTTTTTTGTTTTTTTAAAAAAGTGGAAATCCCTATTATGAGTTCTTACTAGACTTTTTGCTTTATTCTTCTGTAATATATGTCCTTTTTTTTAAAACATAGGACATGTATATTTTATATCAAAGGTAGGGAACCTTGTTATAACCTTGTTATATTCACTAAGAAAGAAGATTTGTAATATATTTGGGGTATTTTAGCATACTTCAGAAAATTAGGATTTATACTTTCAGTTATGCCCTCATGTGAGGAAAAAGTAGTATAATTTCACTCACCCATTTTATCTTTCCATCCTTTAATTACTGGTTAAACTGATTTTAAAAAATTTAAGTCAAAATTTAGATGGGTGTCTTGCTGTAAATATTTTTAATGAATTATATTTACTGGCTTTTGCTAGTTAGTGTCTTTTAACTTATTCTGAATGTAATGGTGGCATTTCAGATTTTTGCTCTCTCAGCCCAACTTTCTCAGAAAATCCATGGAATGGGCTGGAAGTTATAGAGTACTGAGTAGTGTAATTAAAGTAAGTGATACAATACAGCACTGAGTAGATCAGAATTGTGAGGCCTGGGTAAGCAGTTAAGGCTTTATGATGTTGAAAATTATCAGTGGAAGGCAGAATATGGATTGTGCTCTAATTAATAGACATTCCAGATACCATTTTCTTTTAGAAAATTGCATGTGAGGTCATGGAAATTCCACATGATGACATATGTGGTGTAGTAATGAGAAAAGTTCTACACAGTGGTTTTTTTTTTTTTTGCTGTACGCGGGCCTCTCACTGATGTGGCCTCTCCCGTTGTGGAGCACAGGCTCCGGATGCACAGGCTCAGCGGCCATGGCTCACAGGCCCAGCCGCTCCGTGGCATGTGGGATCTTCCCGGACCGGGGCACGAAACCGCGTCCCCTGCATCGGCAGGCGGACTGTCATCCACTGAGCCACCAGGGAAGCCCTCTACACAGTTTTAACATTTAAATGTTGCCATTAGTATTCTGATCCTTGTTCTTTGAAAGATAGTGACTTTTTAACTAGAGAATAGTTATCTACTTTTTTAAAAAATTGAAGTCTTTTTGTTCTGTATGTGCAAACATTACCTAACATCTCAGTCCTACTTAGCTATACTCAGGCCCCACTAGGAGTCATTGCTCTGAACCCCTCTGAACCAGGTGCTTTCTGTATATGAATTGGGATTTTTGCTCAATCAGCATTTGGAAAAATATCCATCAGAAAGGTATGCAACCCTGCCAACTGAGTCCAGTTTCAAAGAGTGTACCCCTTGGACTCATTTGGCTGATAAAATTTTTCCATTTGTAGTAACTTGGCTGAGAGGCCATAGCACTTACCTTGGCCTCATTTTATAGGCAGAGATTTTTCAGAAAGTCTTGAGAAAACCTGCTTGGCTTTGTTTGCATTAACTTTGTTATGCAGGTAAAATTTCATCTTTGTTTAGCAAAATAAGCCTCCAGGAACCAATGAAAGTGACCATTATCTCTCACTCTTAAATAGTATAGTATGTAGTATAGGATTTTTAAAAATTTCAGTGGCTAATAGGAAAGAGCCAGGTAATGTCAACATTATGGCCGTTATTGGAATATGTTTCCATTTGGGGAATTTCTATCTTTTTTTTAATTGATAGGCTGTTAAGGTAACATAATTAAAAGTTTATTTTTTATATTCGCTTTTAAGTTGATTTTGCTTCTTGTGTTCTGATCAAAGAAAAAACTTGGGAGTATTTTTTAGTGTTTATCTCTTATTTTAAAAAGATTATTTTTCTCATAGACTCTGCACCAATAAACAAAGTATATATCTGTAATCAGACATTTTAAAGGTCATTAAATTGACCAGAAAGCTAAAAGTATAAAACTAAAAGAAATTATAGTCTTTTAATTTAAAGCTAGTCACCAAATGAGACTCCTTTTTTGCCTGTCCTTTCCAAATGGTATTAGAACATATACTGCATTTTTAAGATAAGTCTAAATCTCCCTCTACCCTCTGCCCCCAATAAACTAATGTACTTGATCCTCCTTTAATAGATATATTTTTCCTTTCACTAACTTAGGATCAACCACAGGTTTATCTGCCACGCCCCCTGCCTCATTACCTGGCTCACTCACTAATGTGAAAGCATTACAGAAATCTCCAGGACCTCAGCGAGAAAGGAAGTCATCTTCATCCTCAGAAGACAGGAATCGAATGGTGAGAGTATATGATATCTTTTTTCCTCTAAGTTCTGTCTTCTTAGAAGTCATAGCCAAATGTAATGTCACCTTTTAGATATATGATATATAGTGCCATATATGTCCATATTTGACACAGAATTCCCATAATCAAATAAATTTAAGAGCTGATAGTTTTTTGCTTAAAAACAAAATACAATATTGATTTTTGCTCTCAACTCTAATATAATTGAGTAAAAGGCAGTTTTGGAAGAGCAAGAATAGTGTTCTGTTTCTAAACTATGGAAAGAGAGTAAGCTTGTATTTTAGGAGGCATGATTAGGCATGTATGTTCTAAAGAGTTGGTCTGAAATACAAATAACTACCAAAGGACATTCTTCCCTAATGAAAAATTAGCTATCTGCTGTAAATTAAATCTGTATTAAAAACTAATCATTTTAGCAATAGTATATGTTGGATATGTGGGTCCTTTATCATCCCAAAGTGATTGTATATGTTGATAATTTTTTTTAAGAGAGAGATTGGGTCAGATAAGATATATGAGGAAATTTAGCACTGACAGGGAGAAAGTAATTAGATTATCAACAGCCATAGTATGTTAACTTTTTGGCCTTTGGAGCCAAAACTACTCACAAATGTATAACACTTATCTTGCTCCTAGTAGTCTTCCAAATGATAAAAAAGCTGCTTTATTTTATTGATTTTAATAATAAAATTTAATAATAGTAACATTTCTGCTCATACCCAATAAATAATTTTTATTTTTTAATAAACTGTTTCCACCCTGATACTGACTTAGGTCTTAAACTTAAGTTCTATATTTTAAGAATCATCCTTCTATTATTCCTCTAGAGTGTGGGGTTTTTTCCAAAGCTTTTGCTCTCTTCCTAACTTATGTCCCTTTCAGGAATAGGTAAATGTACTTAGTGTGAAGCATAAGATTTTCCTTTTTTGTTTGCCTTGGCTTGACTTTTGCACTATTTTTATCAAGAAAACACTTGGTCGACGGGATTCAAGTGACGATTGGGAGATTCCTGATGGACAGATCACAGTGGGACAAAGAATTGGATCCGGGTCATTTGGGACAGTCTACAAGGGAAAGTGGCATGGTATGTATGTAATACGGTGACCTTGTCACAAATTATAATAATAGAATATAATAACTTTCATAAAAAAATATCAAAGGGAGTATTCACTGTTTGCATCATTAAGCTAATTATGATCAGATGCAAGAGTCCTCCAAAGGTTTATAACAGAAATTATGGGAAATAAAAACTGGATTCACAGCAGCCAGAAGTTTAATCATTATACTACAGTAATAATTTTTAAAGATGATCCTCCAGATGAGCTAGTCCCCAAGATTTTTTATTTTTATAAGTCTTTATGCTGGTAATTTTATTTGTATTATAAACCACAAGTAAACATATAAA